ACAGCTAGAAAGTGTTATGTGTCTGAGGCCAGATTTGAACTCAGGTCCTTCTGAATCCCGGGCCGGTACTCTATCCACTGTGCCACCTAGCTGCCCCAGAAGGGTACAAACATTTTAGTCACCTTTTTTTTTTTTTTTAGGCAATTGGGTTAAGTGACTTGCCCAGAGTCACACAGCTACTAAGTGTCAAGTGTTTGGTTTGAGGTCACATTCGAACTCAGGTCTTCCTGACTTCAAGGCCAGTGCTCTATCCACTGCACCACCACCAGCAGCAGCTGCCCCTGACTATCCACTTCTTAATGGTGGCAGCTGAGTTCCCTTCCTTTTATGGGCAGAAAGCTTAGGCTCCTCTGGTGGCTCCTGGATCTCTAGGGGAGTTATCGGATCCCTCAGAGAGGTGGGGACCCTAACCTTCCTGGTGAGTGTGCCTCTCCTAAGGTCAAGGCTGGAGGGGATCTGAGAGGGCAATGTATCACCCCTCTTGTTCCGCAGAAAAGGCACATGAGGCCCAGTGACTGGCCCCAGGACCCTTAGGTGAAAGGTTGCATGACCTCATTTCAGAATCAGCTCCTCTGAAAGGGTCAGCCCTCTCGACCACACCATGTTACTAAGGAAACCTTTATAAAGAGGAGTCTCATGCTCCCGGCGTGAACCAGCCAGTTGTGGCGGGAGGTGTGAGTGAGGGGGCAGGGGGAACCGGAATGAGCTCTGTCTTCTCTGAGCTGGGCCTGGCCTTCTTCTGATCCCCCCAACCCCCACCTTCCTTCCTAGTGTGGGAGAACCCCTACATACCCTATGACAACGTCCTTTCCGCCAAGTCAGGGTCTTTGGGGGTGGGAATAGCAACTGGGGGCTAAAAAGTGACCTCTTTTTGGGGGACTTGACTCAGGGAAGGCAGGAAGGGGACACGTAGGAAGGCATCTGATCCTGCCCAGACTCGGGGGCTTCAGGTCTCCTCCTCAGAGAGGACAGGGAGAGAGGGGTTACATGCTGCGTGGAGATCTGCAGTGCATAGAAGGAGCCCCCAAACCTCTGGAGCCCCACTGGACCATTCTGGAGATTCCACCTTCTCACCAAGGAATAACGAAGCCTCCCACTTGCTCTACCTGGCCTGGCCCTGCCCTTCAGATGCCCCAGACACCTTTGGTTTCACTTCTGAGTTGAGAAGAGGGAAGGGGGGGGGCAAATGGAGCAAATAAATTTTGTTTGGCCGCTGACTAATACAGCTTTGGTCTCTCGCCAACAAGTCTACAGAGGGACAGAGCCCCTTTCTGCAGCTGCTGAGCCTGGGGAAGTGGGGTGCAGGCTCCCTGTTCCTTCCCAGGATCTCTAGCCCGAAGGCTCTGTGGGGACCTGCACCCCTTCCTTCACCCATCTGCAGAGCACTGTGGATCCAGCCCATCCCTGCTTCTCTTCTCCCTCTGTGAAGGTTGAGGACTGGAAAACTCCCACACCCCAAGCCAAACCTCCTGCCTTTGGAAGGCAAGAATGGGAAAGGAAGGAAGGAAAGAGCCTTCCCCCTCCCATCCTGGAAAGAGACAGGAGGAAGCCAGAGGAGGCCTGCCAAACTAGAGCTGAGGGGGGGCTGCATTTATATCATTCGATGGAAAAAACTGGGCTTTGGGGATCACCTGGTTCAGCTTCAGGAGGGAAGCAGAAAGCAGAAGTGTGGGAGTTCAGAAGGGAGGGAGAATGGGGAGGGGGCTCCTTCTTGGGACACAGGGCTACTGGATAGTGAAGCAAGGAGAGGCAGACAGGAAGGGTCCTTTCTGCTGCCAGTGGCAAAAATGTTGGCAGAGTTAGGGACTGCCAGGCTGGCAAAAACAGAAGGTGGGGGATTAGTAGCAGAAGGAATGTAGAGAGGAGAGGAGAGAGGAGAGAATAGGAGGGGAAAGGAGACAAGAGAATAGGACAGGAGGGTAGAGGAGAGGAGAGAAGGGAAGAGAGGAGAGGAAGATGGGTCATAGAAGTCTCAGGCAAGGAAAGGAAAGAGGACAGGAAGGGAGTCTCCATTTGCTTTCTTCCAGGGAGTCCCAGGTCTTTTTACGCTTTCTCCCTCTCCCTATCCAATCTCTCTTGTCCCTGCCTCATCCCTTTCTCCTCAATGCCTAAAATCAGCCCAGGCATACTCCCACCCCATCCAACCCGCTGCTTTCTCCACCTCCCTGTCACCCTGGCCAAGTGCTTCATCTACCCATTCTCTTGTTGCTGTCTCTCAAACCAGACGTGAAGCTGAGAAGGACTTTAGGTGCTGTTTGGTGTCTGGTAGGGCTCCATTCAGCCTTGGGCCAGGGGTGGGATCAGGAAAGAGACTAGAATGGACTAAGACAAGGGTTGAGGCTTCTGGAGGTTAGGGGCATAGTGGAGAGAACACTGCCTTTGAGGTTAGAGGTCCCGCGTCTGAATCTTACCTCTGATACTGCCATCCTTCCTTTCCCTGGCTCTCACTACATCCCCCCTTCCCACACACGAGTCCTCAAGCATCAAATGTCTCTATGCACCACTTAACCCCCCATCTGTCCTTTCCCCAGCCTCCCAAGGCATTGTCACAGGTGAGGGTACCCCAGAGGCAGCCAGAGCCATGGGAGGGACCCTCTGACTTGCCCCCACTAGTCCTGACTTCAGGTCTGCGAGCAGTCTAGGTCCGGAGATTCCCCAAAAGGCAAAGACAGAAGGCATATCTGTCCAGCCTCCTACTTTTCCCAGCTTCCCCTGCCCCCAAAGAGCCTGGATGGAGTTCTCATCATCACCAGCACCCCCAATCTCCCAGCTGTTAGAACATACGCAGATCTTAGCCCGGCCAGCTGCAGCTTGCACCCCCTCTGCAGCAGGGAGCTCCCCTCTCCTCTGCCACCCTCTGATGACATGGGACACTCACAGCTATGGGTCACTCCCCCCCCCCCACACACAACCCGGACAACCACTGCATTCTTCTCGTGATCTCAAAGCACCTGACCAACCCATTCTAATGGCCCAGTGTTCGTCTTTCCAATTATCCGATAGAGAAGGGTCAGGGGACTTGTCTGGTACTCCTAGCTAGAGAGAGGGCAAACTGGTGAATCTGGCACTGGTGTCTCAGCCTCTGTCCAGGGCAGTTTTCCTTGACTTCTAACAGGACTCAGGTTTTAGGATGCCTTAAGGGGGAGCTGCTCCAGCCTGTCCTGTGGTCTCTTCTGCCTCCCCTGGCCTCTGGAAGCAGAAGGACCTTCTCCCCTGCAGCTTGGCACAGCCTGCCTGCCCACCCTGCCAGCTTTATCCACCTGTCCACTTCAGATTCCACAGGGCAGCCCGGGAAAGGGCATTGCAGAGGAGTTATGGGGGAGCAGGCCCGTTAGTCTGCAGGCACCCCGGTCCCCTTACTCTTCAGCCTCTCTGCCCATTCCCCCAAGCAACAGCTAGTATGCATAGAGGCCAGGCCATGCTAGTGGACAGCAACCCAGGAGGAGGAGGAGGAGGAAGTGGAAAAGGTGGGCCAGGCCCTGCCTTAGCACTGCAGTACTTGTGGGCACCTTCTCCTACTCAGACCAGACGCTGGACTCCGGGGCAAGCAGATCCCTGAGCACCCCAGTCCATAGCGCCATCCTAGAACAAGGGCCTCACCCTGCTCAGGGGTGGGTGGGTTCCCCTTGGCCTGAGAAGCCAAGGATGGCCGTGGTGGCCTGGGGAATGGGAGGAGGTCAAGTTGGGCTCAGCTGCCACCTGGTGCCCCTAGGAAGGGGGAGGACACTTGAAGGCTGAACAGAGAACAGACAGGCTGGTGTCCCGGAGGGACATGGTGTCTGGGGACTAGTGGCATGGGCAGCCTTAGGAATGCGGGGAGAGGGAGGGAGGAGAGGCTTCAAGGGGGTGGGGGGAAGGGGTGGCAGACACATCTCTGGATAGTGGGCTGCCCGTGAGCCTGGGAGGACCCTTAGGGGCTGGAGAGGAGGGGGGACCAGGCCAGGAGGAGAGAAGGGTCACTGGGCACTTGTCTGCCGCCACCCCCACCCCCACCCCATCCACTTGTTGTGTCCTCCCAGGGAGCGGCTCTGCCTTCACCGGGAGGGGTCGGGGGAGGGGGTTCTCTCTGCAGGAGCGTGTGTGGAGAGGTGGGGGGAGGGCACGGCGGCCATCTCTGTCCCCCTCTCCCCTCTTCTCCCAGCCCAAACAGATTGGATTTTTAAAGCGACACGTCTGGAATGTCAATTCCAATACAGAACCAGCTAGCTACGCTAGAAACCGCGAGGGTGATGGGGAGGGGGGTGGAGGAGGGGGGAGCCCACCCACCGCGCAGGTTCCTCGGCCCCGCATTCACTGGGGCCGGGGGCTCTCCCCCAACCCCGAGCCCCGCCCCCTGTCCGGGCCGCAGCCGTTCTCGCCCATTTCCGCACAGTCACCGTGGGAATGCTGACCCCCACGACCCTGTCCCCTCCCCGGGGGTGAGTGCCACCGCTACCGAGGGGGTGCGGGCGGCCAGGGGAGGAGGGCGCCCGGCCTAGTCTGGGGAGGGGGGAGGGGGTTAGCAAGTTTTCCGAGCTGGTGCCCGCAGCGTGTGGGGGGTCTCTTCTGCTACTTCTGCCTAACGCTTCGGGTCCTCACCCACCCATGGGACCTAGGGGAGGGGATTGGGGAAGTTTCCCCCCTCCCCCTGCCCATCTCCAATCATCTGAAACCCGCCTAGATTGAGCCGGGGCGGGGGGGAGGGGGGCCAGGGGAGCGATGGAAGAAGGCTGTGCTACCCCCACTTCTGGTGCTGGTACCCCTCCCCCCCCCCCCCCCGCCCAGGTCCTGGGAACGGGTCTGTGCTCCGGGCTCGGGTTAGGAGCTCCCTCCCGCTCGCCCCGCAGGTCGAGCCCACCTGTCTCCTTGCACCTGCAGACCCTCCCCGCAGTGGTCAGTCGGGGAGGGGGAGACCAGGGTCCCCAGAGCCCCCCTAGCGAGCGGCGGCGGCGGCGGTTCCAACCCGGGCTGGTCAGAGCCGGGCAAACAGGTAGGGCTGCTCCGGGGCCCCCCGCACTCACCCTCCAGCTCGTCCTCCGGGATCTCCACGGGCCGCTGTTCGGACAGGATGTTGGGCACGGTGTAGATGCCCCGGTACATCAACGCCGCGGTCACCGGGTGGAACGGCATCTTGGGGACTCCTGCGCCGAGCGCAAACTTTAATCCCGAATCGCATGGACTGCGCGGGCCGGGCCACCCCCCGGAGGGCAGCGGCGGCAGCAGGGGCAGGGGCAGGGGCAGGGGCAGGGGCGGCGGGGGCGGGGGCAGCGGCAGGGGCAGCGGCGGCCGCTCTCGTTCACTTGGAGCCCGCCGGGCCCGGGGAGGAGCCGAGGCTGGGGGGCCGCGCGGGGAGGGTGTTCGAGCCCAGGGCAGCGGTCCGCCTGCCCGCCTAGCCGACTGCCCAGGGACAGGGACAGCTCGCTCAGCGGCGGCCGCGGCCGCGCCTCCGGCTCGGGCTCCTCGGGCTCTGGGCTCTAGGCTCCGCTTCCACCCCTCCCCTCCCCTCCCCTCCCCTCCCTTCCCCCCCCCTCCCCTCCCCTCCCCCCCCCTCTCCCCCCTCTCGGGGGCTGGGGGAGGGGGAGGGGGAGGGGGAGAAGGAGGGAGGGAGGGAGGGAGGGAGGGAGGGACGGCCGCGGCCGGCGGTAGCTGCTGGCTACTGCCCGCTTGAGCCCCGCGCCCCTGGGCGCCGGGCCATTCCCGCTCCCGCCCCCGCCCGCCTCCGCCTCCGCCTCCGCCTCCGCCTCCTGCGCGCCTCCGCCCGCTCTCTAGCCAGGGCACTCAGTCTCCTCCCCAGGGCCGCCACTGGCTGCTCAAAGGCGCCCGCTGCCCCCAGCCGGGGGTGCCCGGAGCCCCCGCCCCGAGGGTCGCATGGCGCCCGCCGGCGGCAGCTGGCCCCGGGCCGCAGCCACCGACCCCCTCCCGGCCCAAGTTTCCCCGGCCCGCTCTGCGCCCTCCGGGCCGGGGCGGTGCGGTACGGCGCGGCGTGGTGCGGTGCGCCCGGCTGGCTGGCTGGCTGGCGAGCCGGCTCCCTCTGGCCCAGCTCGGGCTCTCGGTGCCGTCCTCCCTCCCAGTGCCTCTGGCTTCTCTCCGCGTGTGTGTGCGTGTGTGTGCGTGTGCGTGTGTGTGTGCGTGTGTGTGTGTGTGTGTGCTCTCCCTGCGCTCTCCCCTCTCCCCTCTCTGCGCTCTCGCTCTCCCCTGTCTCCTCAATCCTCTCTGCGCTCTCTCACGTACAATACACACGCGCTCCCCCCAATGCCCAGCACATATATATCCCAAAGAGGGACGGATGAGAAACTGGAAAAGTACCCGGGAAAGGGGAGCCCCAAGGCTGAACCCGCGAGCGCAGAGAGAACCGGACGCGGGGATCTGGACCTTAGCCTGAGCCCGCGGCTCCGTGGAAGTCGGGCTGCCCACTCCCGCGTCCTGCCGGCCTCCCGCCCCAGCGCCCTCTGTCACTGGGGCATCTCTCCACGCCCACCCACTCCTGCACCAGTACGAGTAGCACCAGGCTGCTCTGTTCTCCAGGGCCCTCCAAGTGTTTTCCACCTGAGGTATGCACCCTAGGGGAAGGGAAGCAGGTAAGGAAATGGCGGTGCAGGCAGGTGGGCCCATGGGGCAGGACCTAGGTATCCTGGTTCCCCAGCACAGGGGCCGAAAGGGACGAAACCCCTTTTTTTCCGGCTCTTTTGGCCCCTGGTTTGGTCTCTGGGTCCTTCTGGAGAGTAGCTTAGCCCTTTGGGAGCCTGGGGAGGAGGGCACGGGGATAGGGGAGACCCCTGTGCGCCTGGTGTCTCAGTTCCTTTGGTTTTGGCTGGGATGGGGAGTCCATGAGCCAGGGGCCAGCCGCGACTCCCCTATTCTCCCTCCACCCCGACTCCTTTACTCCTCCCAGCACCACCCCCGCACACACACAGCTGGAGTTCTTACTGAAGACAAGAAAGAGGTGTAAGTAGAAAAGGGGAGCCCCGTGCCTTCCCTGGACTCAACCGCAAATAGACCCGCAGAGGTGGGGGGGGGGGGGCAGAGAACCGACATTGCCGTCTCAGTGGGTTGCGCTGTCTCCACTGAATCTGCAAACGGGAGAACCTCGGTACTGTCGGAGGTCCCTCCCCCAGCTCCCCGCTCCTCAGGGTCTTACGATTTCCCCAATTCTTCAGTCCTTTACACGGGAAAACTCCTCTTTCCCCCATGGGCCAGAGACAAGCTCGAATTAACACAAAGCTTTCTAAGTCAGAAAAATGAAGGGGAAAAGTCACGAGGAGTAGAAGAAGGCAGCAGCCTGGAACAGGAGAAAGATTCTGGATTTGAAGTTAGAAAATCCCGATTCAAAATTCTGCTCTGCCTCTTCCTACTGTGTGATCTTGGACAAGTCATTTTCCCTCTGTGGGCCCAGTTCCCTCATCAATAAGGGGGAAAGGAATAAGCATTGAAATGTCTCCTAGTATATGCCAGGCACTGTGCTAAGCACTTTAACAAATGTTATCTTATTTGAACCCCCTCAACAGCACTGCTCAGACACAGCTAGCATCTGAGGCGGGGTTTGAACTCAGGCTTTATTGACTCCAGGCTCAGCACTCTATCCACCTTTCCACAAATTGAGAGGGTTGGACGGGATGGCCTCCAAGGTCCTTTCTAACTGTCCCATTCTATAAATGCCTGAGGGAGGATTTGAGCCCAGTTCTGCCTAACTCGAATTCTAGCACCCAAGTTCTGGATCCTGAACCTGGTCAAGATTCCACCTCTGACTTCGAATCTAGTCCTCTTTCCATCACACTTTGCACCTCACCTATGTATATCCATATTACTACTGACATTAATATATCACTTTAAGGCTTTCAAAGCACTTAACATACATGAGCTCACCTGTTTATTTTCTATATCTCTGAATCTGTACCTGGGAGTTAGTGTGGACACCACCCAAGGTGAAAACTCCACCCATTAATGCAGATTGACAACTGTTTGTCATTAAAAGCCTTGAGAGTTGCCCGGGGCATTGAGAGTTAAATGTCTTGCCCAGGGTCCAATAGCTGGTCTGTGTCAGTCAGAACTCAACACTGTTAGGTCTTCTGGACTCCCCTTGCTCACTACACCCGATGGCTCTGCCTCTCATATACATACGTGTATGTAAGCATAGAGCTAAACGTATGTGAGGGATGTCCCAAGGACATCCTCCGGCTCCCTCCCTCCCTGGCTCATAAATCCACTCCTGGGTTTAGGCTCCGCCCCCTCCAATCCCATCTCCCCCATTTCCAGCTTTTGGGTGAAATCAGCATCAAATAGCCCTCAGCAGGAAAAGGAGCTGATTAAAGTGATCTTAACTCCAAAGCGCTTTTTCAATTACTGCTCGTCCCTTCCCCTCGCTGATTACATTTTTCTTCTTATTTTCAGCCTTGTCACTGATTAATCACAGCTCCACCCGGGAACCACAGATTGGGAGGACTTGAGGGGAAAGATGAGGGGCCCCAGTCTGGGCTAAGGGGGAGGAGGACCTGTGGGGAAAACTGGCCTAGAGGAAGCTCCTGGCATTGCAGCCACCCTGGGGGTGTGGGCTGAGGAGGAGGAGGAGGAGGAGGAGGAGGAGGAAAAGAGAAGTAGGGAGAAGAGGAGGAGAAAGGGGGAGGGGGGGGAGGGGGGGAGGAGGAGGAGGAGGGGAAGAGGAGGAGGAGATGTTTTCCTCATGAATTGAAGGCAAGGCCAGGGCTTACCAGCAGCATGTCTGTGTCTGTATGTCAGTCAACAAGCGTTTATGGAGTGCCGGCACTGGGCTAAATGCTGGGGATACCAAGAAAGGCCATTTTAAAAAGGCCCTGATCTTGAGAAGTGTACTTTTTAATAGGGAAGACCACCTGGAAATAACTAGATACATACGAATGTATGTGTGTGGAGAGAGAGAGAGAGAGAGAGAGAGAGAGAGAGAGAGAGAAGATGATGGCAGGTCATCTCAGAGGGGAAAGTTACATTAGAGGAACTGTAAGCAGGCCAGTGTAGCTGTATTATAGGGTATATTGAGGAGAATAAGGTGTAAGACTAGAAATGCAGAAAGATAGAAAATTATGTCTAGTCTGGCCTGGAGCTGGTCCCTGTACTCTGCCTGAGTCTGTGTGTTTCCCCTAGCTGTTCCCCATGATGGACATGCGCACCTTCTAAGCTTGGCCTTTCCAAATCCTCTTCTTTCCTTTGAAGCTCTACCCAGCTCCCTCTTCTGGGAAGCCTTCCCTGATTAATCCAACTTTGAGTGTTCTTTTCCTCATTGGCATAGTGCTCCATCATATTCATTTGAGTGCATCCCCACCCCAACATTAAAATATCCATTGCCTGACGGAAGTGACAGTACCAATTTCAAGGTCAAAAGAGCCTAGATATGGAGCTAATAGGGACCTCAGAGGTCCTCTGGTCCAACTCCATCATTTTACAAATGAGGAAACTGAGGCCTCTCAAAATGAACTCCTTCAGTGCCGAAGGAATTTCTATCTGATCTGAGAGGTTCACACATTCCATCTCTGGTCTCTCTACTTCTGCCCAGTCTGTCCCCCATGCCTAGAACCCAACCCCTCTCACCTTGGCTTCCTTCCTCACCTCTTACCTATGCCCTTCTCTGATCCACTTTGTTGTTAGCTCTCGCTACCCACTGGAAGTCACTTGGGATATCACTTGGTTTGCTATTTTGTACACACTACTGCAATGTGTACAGTTATCCCTTCCACACTCTGGGGATTAGGGGCCTGGTGCCCCTGCGATCTGGAAAATCCAAGTAAAATTTTTTGGCCCTCCCTTCATACCAGAGAAGAAATCTGAATTTTTTCTTTTTCTTTTAAGGGGTGTTTTCAGTACCTTATTGTAAAATTTGGGTTGATATTATATAATACTATACATATATGGTATGCATTTCTGAGTTTCTAAACTTTTTCTTTGTGGTCTGCTGGCCTTCTTATGTTGTCTTTGGCTTCCTCAAAACTCCCCCAAAATTCCCATTTAATTTCCTATGCTGACTGGCGATATATTGAAACTCAGATGGAGAAAGTCACAAGGTGGAAGGGATAACTGTATATGTCAATTTCTCCCAGTAGAGTGGAAGCTCCTTGAGGGCAGGGGCTGATTCATTATTAGCTTTGTATCTTCAGGACTTAGCA